AAAGAAAATTACTCTCCCCTCAATCGTAGGCCTGACTGGCCTCGGGGCACTCCCAGATGGAGTCGATGGCATCTGACAATCTTTGGAAATGTGGCCTGGCCTGCCACATCTGAAAAAAAAACATTTCCCAAATGGGAACAATCTCTAATCATGTGGGCTTCTCCACATCTGTAACATTGCACCGACTGTACTCCACCCTAAGGAGTAGCAGGACGAGGTCCCCTGCTAACAGCACCCCTCTAAGACTGAACAGGCCTGTCTTAGGGTCCTCTCTGCTGACCCCCCCTCCAAGATCCGGATGATCCCTCCTAACCCCTAGCAGCCTTGCCGCTGCTACTACCACCCTCCAATCTCTCAACAGTCTTTGTCTTCTCAACCAAGGTAGAAAATTTCACTATGGACATAAGGACTATGACCCCCCCTTCAGCTCATACCTCAATCCCTCTGCAAACTCCCTACATCTCCAAGCCTCAGATACAGGCCGAGAGTAGAAACGAGCTAGATGCTCAAACCACATAGCATACTCTGAAACAGACATGCTCCCCTACTGCAGTCTCATGAACCTAGTCTCCTTAGATATCTAAGGTTGTCTAGGAAATACTTCTCCAAGAAAACTCTCTTGAAGCAATCCCACTCTACAACCACACCTCTACTCTCTATCATCTGCCTGGTGTCTCTTCACCAGTACACAATCTCGCCCGCTACATGTATACTGCATAGGCCAACTTCCTCTCCTCAGAAGATCCCAAAACACTAAAGATCTTCTCATCTTACACAACCACTAATTTTCCACATCAAGATCTGAAACCCCCTTGAATTGAGCTAATTACTTGTATTTTTGCATTTTTAATTGATGAATTTCTATGTAGTGTTGCTGGATTTTTCCAATTTGACCTTTTTATTTTGCTGCCCTCATTGCATGTCCTTCACTTTAATTTTTTCTTATTCGATTCAATTAAGATGTGAAATAACGTTTTTAATCAATTTTTTCTTGTTGTGTTGTTGACTTTCTACCTATTCTAGATTTTTAGTCTTAAACTTTTTGTGGCTTCGTAATGTTATCATATTTCCTTGCATTTGAGATAATAGTTATATTGATTTATGCATTTTCTTTAAACTAAATGAGAATATAGGTGATATTTCATAAGTTATTATGTTATATTGATTTAGGGAGTAGTTTTTTTTATTGTGTTATTATTAAATGTTACATTTATTTTAAATTTATGTTTCATGTTTTTAGTTTCATTTCGAAGCTCAAATAATCTATGTTATTTGGTTTTCAATTATATGTGATGCATCAACTTCTTATTCAATTTTAATTTAATGTCTAAATTCTTTTGGAGGATGGCTTTACTGCGCATTTGGTGGATGATTTTTAGATAAACTTAATTAATAAAAGCAGGTGGGTTTTGCTTTCTTCGATGCGCATTTGGTGTTTGTTTCCTACAGCACATGATTAAAAGGTGAGTGACTCTTCATTTTTATTTTTAATGGTTGCAACAATAATTAAAAGTATTTAATATTAAAATATTAAAGTCTCATTATATTTAGATTGTTATGTTAGAAGTTGTTCATTTTTTATCATGTGAGTTATTTATATGACAAATGATAGACACTTTATACTTTAAACGAGGTATGTGTTATGTTATTTATTTAAAGTATTTTTTTAAAATATATTATTATAATATTATTGTCATCTCTTTATTTTTTATTTCTTCCTTTTCTGAATATTCTTCTCTCAATGTTATTATTATTTTTTCTCTCTTTAAACACAAATGATTCAATCGATGAATTTATCTACTGCATCGTATATACCGTGAGTGATTATTGGTTTCTAAAATTTAATCACCATTTAAGCTGAACATGTTATGTCTCATACATATACTAAAATTTTTTTTTTTGAAAAATTCTATTGTATATATATTTTGACTATTCTTCTCTCAATATGACTTTTTTTTTCTCTTTCAATGCTAAAGATTTCATTGTCTCATTTATTTACTGTCAAACATATACCGTGTAGGTGATTTTTAAATTATCTAACCTTTATTTGCTTGCCAAACTATAGTTTTCTAAATGTTTATGATTTTAATTCATATTGAAAAGATAAAGGGTTGTTGTATAACTCTTTATGGTTGTTTGGAAGATTTTAATTGTTAATTTAAAAAGGAAAAAAGGGAACTTAATAGGTGGGCATTTGACTTTTGTTAGTACACTTCCGGTAATATTGTCCTTTTAGATTTGGATATATATATATATATATATATATATATATATGTCTTTTCATTCATTGTTGTGTTATGTTTCTATTCTTAATGCTTGCTTTGGATTGATCCTCCTTTGCTTGATATAGAGTCCATTGGGTATTGGAAAATAGTCTTTTGAACTAGCTTCGAAACAAATACCTAGTGGAAAATGTATCTAGGAATGAAGCTTGGCCCATTAGTAGTCTTAAACCCTAACCTGTAATGCGGGTGTAGGTAATGGATACTCAAGGAATTGATATTCACTATCTGCACCTAGGCTCTTGCTCTAAGGGATTAGGTTTGAGTAAACTCATGGGTTGACTAAGCAATGAATGTAACAAGAAAACAAAGATTCATCAAAGTAAAGTTCAGTGACATCTGACCCCACAATCTTACAAAATCACAATACCATTCTAGCTTCCCTCACCTGACGATTGGCTCAAAATAGCCAAAAACTGACAAGAAGTACAATTCCCCTTCGTAGCTCAACGCGGAACTTCAATCTACCCAAAACAAGCTTTCTAATCTGAATTTCAAGAAAAGACAGATGGCATTAGTGGTATAGAGGAGAAAAGGAATCATACAGGGAAATTTAGGAGAGAAGGGAGCTCACAGACCCAGAGACCTTCTCTCTAAAAACTCATATTCTCCTCACGGCCCACAACTCCTATTTATAGGCATTCCGGAGTGGCCAAAACGGCCTGTACCGAAACCGGAACGGCCCATTCTGTACTGCTTCGTCATGTGCAAAAACCACATGCAGAACGGCCCGTTTTGGAACTCATCCAGAACGGCCCGTTCTCCATCCAGAACGGCCCGTTCTCCAACTAGAACGACCCGTTCTCAACTACGATTTACAGGTCAATTTAATAGCTTGGAATGGCCCGTTCCAAATTGGAAACGACCCGTTCTAGGCTACTAAATCACCTATATTGGGCTTTTTGTAAAACAACTTGCTACGTTACACATCATATTTCTGTCTCAAACTCTGGTAGTGGCATACAATTTAAGAATTTAACTAAACATGTCAAAATGAATCAATTGGAGTCCATTGCCATATATATATATCTATATATATATATATATATATATATATATATATATAAATATAAAGGGGATACTCCTTTTAATAACTATTTTGATCTCTACATTTTGTTGACCATTGTACCCTTTCATTTTAATTTTTTTTTAAATAATATTTTTATCAAAATTAAGACCCTAAAATTAATTTATACTAATATATAAAGGACATACTTCTTTTAGTAACCACCTTATTCTCCATATTTTGTTGACCATTATACTCTTTTATTTTAAAAAATTAGAAAAAATAATATTTTTATCAAAATCAAGACCATAAAATTAATTAATTAATTATAACATTATATCAACATATATTTATTACTTAATTTTTATTTTATTTTATCTTCAATAGAGGCACGATGTGCCTCAACCTTACTAGTATATATAATGTATATACTTCTATGACAAAATTCAAATTGTTTGACTGCAATACTGTTTATCACATAGAGTAAACATAATGATAATAAGTGAGAGATAATAATAAAGAAAGGAATTAATTCAAAGTAAATTCTTATTTATTTATATTGAGAAAAATTCAAGTCCCACATCGACTAGAGATTAGGCAATTGAATAGTATATAAGTGGAAAATAACCCTCACCTTACAAGCCGGTTTTGTAAGGTTGAGTTAGACTTAATTCACTATTCTAAGTTGGTATCAAGGCTATCCTAGATCCTTAAAAAATGGGCCGCCCACCATTGATTCATGCACCATAAGCATGAGGGGTGTATTGAGAAAAACTCAAGTCCCGCCAATCTTAGATCATTAAAAAGGACCACCCACCATTTATCCATGTACCAAGCCCAATAGTGCTGGACGTGATGGGTTGTATTGGGAAAAACCCAAGTCCCACATCGACTAGAGATTAAGCAATTGAATAGTATATAAGTGGAAAACAACCCTCACCTTACAAGCCGATTTTGTAGGGTTGAGTTAGGCTTAATCCACTATTCTAAGAATTTACAATATTTTTTCAAGGTACCCTTTAGCTTTTATGTTTGGAAAATTTGTCATAT